GCTGCAGGTATGACACCCTCACAGTACACATGTAGAAATCACATCAAAACCATATCTATGACTGAAAGGAAATTGGTTTAAGCGCCTAAGATTAAATGTTCAGGAGAGCTATTTAAAGTTTTCATTTTTAGAAAAAACCTACATTTTCATTGTTTCAAGCGTCACAAACGTGCTCTGATATTTATGAAACCCAGTTCACACGACGCAAATCGTAAATATATATCTTATGATTAAAGTTTTGACATATGTATGTTTTGTTAACAGCGAAGTAGTAAGGCGCCGGGAGAGGGCGGAGCGAGTAACACTGGATTTTAATTTATTATCGCATGGACTGTTCGCTGAGAAAATAAGTAATGGAAAAGTGTCTGGTGATTGTAGTGGTTATTTAATCCGTTCATGATAGTGTGGAATGTTTGCGGGGAAATATTTAGGTGTGTGAATTAAAGATGTCGGACATTGCTCTGGTTTGTTAGTGTTGTATCCAATAAATGGAAGGTGTAAGAATGTATTCCCGCAAGAGAACAAAGCGTGCGGCCGCGAGGTGAGTCAAATGTGTTCACTATTTTGGGCAGTTTTATGACATCACTAAATTTTGACACATGTTTATAGAAGCTATGTTAGGCAAATGTTTCTGTGATTCTGAATGCCGAGTTCTGACGGGGCCATGGCCTCCGTATAGTATAAATGTTTTACGTTATGCCCAATCAAGTATATTTTACTAGCTTCACATTATCCAGTTGTGCCTAAACGTGAATTTAGATTGTTAAATATATCATAGTTTCCAAATTCACTGCGTTTGTTTAATGTTTTAACATTGTTTAGTGACCCGTGCAGCAGTCCTACTAATGTATAGTTAACTTAGTGAATTTGGCTTATCAAGATACCTTTGAGCGGGTTACATTGCTCTGCTGGCCAGATAACTAACGAATTTTGTAGGTAGATTAATAAAAACTACTCAAGGTGTCTTTGGCTTTAACTTAGAAATTACTTGAGTGATTTGTTGACTGTCATTTTATTGTTAGATATTAAATGTAATGTAGGACTGCTGGCGTTGGAGCAGCAGCCAATGTTGTCTCAGACCGGGGACTATCGGACATTTGTTGTAAAGTGACTGTCACATTTAAGGCAACTTACTGCCAATCGTAATGTTAGCTCCAAAAAATTAAGTGTTTTACTACACTTTATATTTTTAGTATTTTCAAAATCTTCATTAAGGAAATGGGACTGTTTTTAATTGTCTGTATAGATGGAAAAAGATTTTGTAAACTTGAAATATATATAATGGATCAGTTTCAATATATTCTTTCTTTAATATATACATTTTTTTTGTTTTGTTTTTGATTAAAATATCTGTAACTGTAAACTGTACCTGGTCATTGTATGAATATAAAAATATATGTTTACGACAAATCTTCCATTTTATATATTCTTTTATTTTTTATGGAAGAAAAACCTGGAAACGGTTCACCTGATGAGACTACTACCAACTTTAGGATAAAAAGAATATTTGAGAGAAATATTGAAGTAGAAATAATGAAAAGACACCTGCTCCATAAAAAGTCTGAAGCTGTTAAAAATTAAAAAACTTGAAGTCAAATCTTAAATTTTATTGCAAATCAGAACAAAAGCTGGTACAAAATGTACTATTCAATGTTTACATTAAATACAACCGTTTAAAGATTTATTTTAATTAACAGTTAACATAAAGAAAGTAATTAAAAAACACAATCTTAACATACATAACTTTATAATAATTTTTCATATTGAGACAGTTTTTAAATAACTCAATTTTCGACAGTTTTAAAAACAATGTCAAACATTTTTAACTTTACATAGCAAATTATTTGAACAAAAACCTTTAACATTGTTTGGATACATAACAGCATGTTATGTGTTAAAATTTTTGGTACAATCAACTATTCAGTTAAAAGCCATCTTTAGCAGAAATATTGATTATAGAACCCAAGTATAAAAGTTATAATACCAAAAAATTATTCCAGCCAATAAACATCAGTTTACAATCATACTGTGTAACCATTCTTATGAAGTTTTTCATACCTCTTATGTTATATTATAAAACACTTTATAAAATATAAATGCCTCCTATCCCTTACCTCTCCCATGCACATTTTATATCTAGAGAATGAAAATATTTACAAAAAACATTCATAGCAATGTTTTAGAACAGAGGTCGACAACATTTTTAGAAGTAAAAATTTATCAAAAACAGTATTGAAGACATTTAACAGCAATTCTGCAGCTAAAAGAATGATGTAAGTAACCATAATGACTGAGTGCAGCAGTGAGCCAGGCATACTTGAGATGGGTCACTTGAAAATATCAACTGTAGTGATTCATGTGTAAAGGTTGCCGATCCCTGTTTTATTTTAGTAAGTATATTTTTTTTTTTAATTCATAAGTACTGGTAAGCCTGATACATAATAAATTTGAGCCATTTAGGATACACTAATTAATCAAATGTTCCAATACTACGATAATCAAAAATTTTATGTTAAATTTTACTCCTAATGAGAATTTTTTAACCTTTACTGTTATCGAGTTAAGGTAAGAACGTATTTTAAAACTAAATGACTGTTTATGAAATAGTGATATAATACTGCAAGTAATGAGGCGTGAATGAAGATTGGTAATGATTGAGATCAAAAGTAACGTAGAGTAGCGATAATGCAGAAACCATTAAAGTGACGTAAAAAAATAATTATTTCTGCCTACCCCCCATAAATGGCGAATGTACAGAAAAATATGCAAGTATTTTTACTTCAAATCCATGAGATGATAGTTTTTTATGTCATGCAAGTGGTGAGTAGCTAAAAAATCAATATGATAGTACTGTTCGCTTTACATTATAATGAAAAGTGACGAATATAGACGAAAATGAATCTATCTAGATTTAAATAAATTAAAAAGCGTTTATGAATGAGAAATATATTGCTTAGCTTTATTCCTATAAGCGTATGGTTCAATTTCCCAATGAGTTCTGCGTTGAAATTGGAGCATGTTTTGTGATATTCAATGTTGCCAGTTCTTAACTTAGCCGCGCCATTCTCGCGGCGGCTGACCATTCTCGACAACCCAAACTGAGCCACTCTGGCCCTTCATTAATAATTCTATGAGAGCTCTACCAACATGTTCTGGGCTGAAAAACAATTTAAATAACGTTATTAATCGTTTAAATAATTACTTTAAAAGATTATGATCGATACATTTTTACATTAGAGATTTTATACATTAAGAGACCTTTAAAGCGCTTATGGCTTAATGGCAAAAGTAAGGGGCTATCGCTGATGCCTTATGATCTGTTTGATTCGTGTCGTGTCGTAAATCAGACCCTAGTTTTAGCACAATCTTAAAGAGAGTTACAAGATAAAAGGAGTTATCACCTCTGAGTTTTGCAGTTGACATGATCTCGTTGCCAGGCGGCCTCGTATTCTGAGGACATGAGTTGCTTGCGGATCTCCTTGACAAGGCCCGTGTCGGTGAGACCGGGGCACAGCGCCATGCTGCGCACGCCCGTCAGCCCTACGTGGTACTGATCCTGCGCACCCACATCTAGGTTATAAGCTACTCCAAACATGGTTATAGCAAATAAGCGGTAACCCTAATAACTAAAGTAAATGTTGAGTACGAAGAAGCCAGCTGAAGATCAGCGCAGGCACCGCTAAGTCCCTTCTGCATGCTCTGAGCTGGCTACCTTTTGCCACGATTGTATGTTTTCTTTAGAATAAGTTCTTTTTTGTGGCAATAAATATGTACATATACATTCATTCATTCAAATAAGAATAGATTTATATACCCCAGTCGGAGTTTTCGAAAAAAAATAAAAAAACATTCTTCGAAGAGGCAATGCAACTATTATAATGCGTTTCAAATAAGAATTCGCATGCACAAATTGATACGCTATCAAATCAGAAAAAAAGTCGGCAGGGACCATAATTTGCGCAAATATTTTTTTATGAATATTTTTGACATCTAAGTAATAATCATATATCTGAGGCTGTCTAATAATTGCAATGAATAACGATGAATTGGGAGTCCCTGTCGGGTGACTCAACGAAAGCACGTATAATTTCATCACCAGACGGATTCGTGAAGATACAAAGTGAAAGTTCAAACATTGAACTCTTCGTCAGCGAACGATAAATTCTTATCGCATTTGACATGTTTCCTTTGTTATTTAATTACATTTAATCATAAACTTTTGTACTGTGGTAATAGTATATCATTGCACAAATATTTACAAATACTACGATGTTCATAATCCAGCAAAAGTGGATATTTTCTAATGACAGATTAGCTAGGTTGGTTTACATTTTACACTCTTAAAACATATGTATATCAGTCGTCTTGTCTCTATAGTATCCCTTCACTAAGTACTAGCTGTTGCTCGCGACTTCGTCGGCGTGAAATTAGGAAGTATTAAAACTTTATTAAATAGCCTATGTTACTCACAGATTAAATACCTTTCTAATGGTGAAAATATTTTTAAAATAGGCCCAGTATTTTTTAAGTTAATCTAATACATAAAAAAATTCAAACAAGTCAAATTTTTCCTCTTTATAATATTAAGTATAGAAGAAATAGGTCGTGAAAATAAAAGAAATATTAAATCAACTGCACAGATCAGTAAGTACTGATTTACGTACCCCATACGCGCGTGTAAGACCAACAACAGCGTAGTTAGTGGCCGTGTAGATGGGCGTAGAGACCTGTGGTCTTGCGAACGCGGTTGACGCCGTGTTGACGATGGTCCCGCCTTGACCACCGCGGTCTTTGCCCATGAAGCGATACGCCAACAATGTGCCACGGATAACTCCGTTCTAGATAAACATTTTCTTTAATATGTTTCATTCCAAATTCATAGTTAGTTTTAAGTTTTCATTAACTTACCAAATTGACATCGACTTCCAGTTCCCAAAATCGATCGTTCATAACTCCTGCATTGTTTATAACTATATCCAGTCGATTAAACACTTTTATTGTCATCTCAAACGCCTCTGTAATTAAAAAAAATGTATTAGGAAGTGATATAAAAATACACTTTTAATAAATTGATGATTTATGAACGATGTTTGACAGACCGAGGTCATTGACTCCCACATTTTTATGTGAAACAACACTAGTTTTACTCGGTTAGGTGAAAAACCAAATTTAAAAAGTTGTAACAATATAAACATAGTTACCCTCGTATTGTGGATAGTCTGTGACGTCACACTGGCAGAACAGCACGTTCTTCCGGCCATACTTGGCTCCAAGCTCATCGGATACCTGCTCTCCGATTTCAGAATCGATATCGCATAAGGAAACCTGCAAAATGACCATACTTTTAACTTTTGCATTACGTTTGCACAACTTATGTGTGTGAAAGAGGAATAAGTGCATAGAAAAATATGTTTCTAACTAATTTATCGTCATCATAATTGCAATAAATCCCAAATTATGCAAGTAATGCAATTTGCAAAGTTAAATTAAAAAAGAGATCTGCTTTGAGCGCAACGCAGCCGTCTCTCCGCGTGCAAACTGCACAGCTACGACGACTCTATACAATATTCATTTTTCCACCTATATTCGAGATAATACGCAAGCAATGTTTCTGTATAATTTAATAAGTTGCAAATACATAGCACGTACCGCGTGATGAAAATGTCAAAAGTAAATAATATACAGAATCTGCTATAAAAGTCATACGTATCGAAAATCAATAAATTATCCAAGTTGCTTCGTTTTCCAAGCAAATATCTATTGAATTCAAGAGTTAATTATTCCTTACCATTACTTTTCTCGACATCGCGCGCTAATTGGATGTATTAATATTTTATAGCTATTCAAAGAGCGCCGGAGAAATAAAAAAAAACTATCCTATTATGTAGTTCTGAATTATAATATTATTCTATGATTTCAATGTTGTTTTGTTTAATTTTAAATCTATAATAACTTAATTATTAAAATTAATAACGTCATTTCTAAACAATGCATAGTTTATATTGTTACTTATCATATGAGTAACTTTATTAGTTACATGCTTTAGATGAAAATATCATTATGATTCAGTCAATATTCTTTGATAATTATTTAATATTGTTTATAAACAACTACCGAAATGGAGAACGTTATCCTAACGGAAACAGCTTTTCTACCATAACTAATGTGTTTTCTCGTAAATAACTGGATTCTTAAAACCACATGGAATTTGAAAACACAGCCATCTATCGGTTCTAATTATGAATAAAAATTTTTCAATCCTTTCACAACTTTACAAAATTCCAGTGAAATTGATTTATCGTTTAAGAGTTCAATGACTCCACACAAATGTGTCCATAAAGTATAGGCAGTCAATAAAATATTGAAGTAACGCGGTTACGGCTATTAGGGTTAAATCAATTAGTTGATTGCACGGGGAAAAAACAAGTGCTTACGCAAATTAAATTTACTAACACGAACGCACCCAAACAAAGCATTGAGAAAATGAGAGGTAAAATATTTTGCGTTAAATTATGAGCATTTAATTGTTTACGCATATATTAGTAAAGAAAACTGTATCAGAAAGATATAGATCACATGTTGAGATTCAATTCAATAGACGCAGGATAGTAAAAAAATTTAAATCTTTAGATCAAAAGTACTTACATCAGTAAAGGCGTTTCAAGGAAAATTTTACAAGAAAATGAGGCGACCACCCGGTTGATAGGGAAAATCAATACAAAATACAATCGGCGTGCAAATTAAGTTATTTCTTTATGTTTTGTAATCGAACATGCATCGATATTCGTCCGTTTAGGTTAAGGGAGATTTTCATTCAGCACACATTAAATCTATATGAAAATTGTTCAGTAGTACTACGATGCAGCGTAGTGTAACGTGTACCGGTGTGATGTACGTACCTTAGCACCTTGCTTGAGTAGTTCCTCGCAGTAGGCGAAGCCGATGCCGGCAGCGGCTCCCGTGACCAAGGCGACCTTCCCCTTCAGCTCCATGACGTATATTGTATGCAAAGTGTAGCGCCGCGCCCAATGCGGCCTGTAGCGAGTTTGCAGCGGCTGTGCTGTGTTCGATCGCGTCGGGCGCGCCGAGGGGCCGCGGTGGATGGGGCGGAGGGGGTCACTCGGGCTCGGGGCGGGCGTTTTCTCCCCAAATTCCCCTTCTGTAGTAAATATACGCACGATCGCGCGCCACTCTCGCTATCTGCACACACTAGTCGATTCAGTGGCGTGTGGACCAGTGCGGACGACGCGGTTCGGGGGACATTGTCACTTGTTCTATATATAGTAAGATGCACCAAGCTTACAAGGAAGCGACATCATGAATAATGTGCTTGTGAAGAGAATAAAACACGAACGCCTTTCTATAGATTTATTTTTAAATGTTTCCATACATATACCATAATTTTAACTGATTAAAAATAATTCATTTCATTTTTTTAGGATATATACGTAGACATAAAATATCACAGATACAACAATAAGCCTAAAAACATCAAAAACGCGACCGCAATGTTCAATCGCGAGCTGTACACAAAATACGAAAATAAATTTGTATCACAAATTAATTACAATGCAAAAAACTTGAAAATTTACAAACCACACAATATAAAATATTCTAAAACCACATAAAATAATCACATGCCACGATTTTGATCTACATAAAACAATTAACAAATATACAAACAATACATTTTAAACTGTACATTTATAATGAACATGATTTTGCACGGATAAATTAATATTTTACACAAAAACTATGTACAACAATATCACAGTAATTACATTATAATAAAAGAAGAAAAAACAGTTCCTAACACTATCACAGATCAATACGTATTTTATTTCCTCCATTTTTAACCAAGACTAAACAAACGCTCGTATGACAAAACACGAAAACCGTTTTTTTTTAATTTATCCACGGTAATATCAACTCACAAAACAAAAGATAATTTTGAAAAATGGAACACGAAATTTAAACTTTGACATTTTTTTTATTTTATAGAAATAGCCAGTTGTAATTTTGACGTCGAATCGTATTGCAGAGGAATAAAGAGGTCGAGGTTTTAGTGATGTGCCTGGTCAGCGCCGGCGGCGGGCACCGCCTTCGCCAGGTAGGAGAAGGAGCGCGCGTTGGGCAGCCCGGCCAGCACGCACGCGCTCAGCGCTGAGCGGTTCAAGTTCATTGGCGCTGCGTCGTACCACTCTAATGTATCGCCATCGTAGCACTCCACGTGCGGAATTGTGGTCGACCCTTTATTAAAAAAAGTGGACATAAGTAACAACTCGTCCATTACAAATCAATAAATCTGTCGTTTAGGGTAGAAAATAATGAAAGACTCACCGTTGAACCCGCCAATAACGAAGATCATATCGTCCAACAGTACCGTCGCAAAGTTGCTCCGTGCGCTGAACATTTCCGTTATTTCCTGCCAGTCACCGCCACGGTGCGGACAAAATCTTTCACCTTTAATTATAGAAAGAACTCACAAACTTATGGTACTATTATATGAGATTAGCTGATTTATTGTTCAACTAACCGGTATTAAGTCGGCTATATCCATTAAATCCGCCGAGGGCGTAGAGAGAGTCACGGTAAGCGATCAGACTGACGCCGGATCGTGGACTCAGCATTGATCTGATGAAACACCATTGCCTCGTCTCCGGGTCGAACATCTCCGCGGAGCTTAACACCTCCTGACCGTTGAAGCCGCCCACTATGTAGATCTGTCACAAGGTGGACCATTACCATGAGTTTTGTTATCGCCATCTATGGTATTGCCGAAAGGTTTTGCATTCCATCTCTCTTCCTCTCTCTTTCTCTATCTCTCTTACTAGAAAGACTACCATAAGGTTGAAAACCACTACAATGTATAACGGTGATTCGTCGTCGAGTATCGCGTAGAATCATACCTTACCGCCCAGCGAGGCGGCGCTGGCGTCGGAGCGCTGCTTGTTCATGGGCGTCGTCATCTCCCACTGGTTCTTGTCCGGGTAGTACCTCTCCACGGACGACATGCGCGTGCGCCCGTTGTATCCGCCCAAAGCGTATATTAAACCGTCTGCTAGATAAACATATGAAATGATGAAAAACTGATATATTCTTAAAGAACCGGGAATGATTCTGAACATATTTTGCACATACTTTATTTTTTTTTACTTGTAAATAAGAGGATTTCTAGTGACCTCAAGAGGCGAGATTTAAAATAAATTGGTACTTACTAGTACACTACTAAAGTTAGATAAAGCAGAATGTAGGATGCTAATTACCGTGAACAACGACGCTGACGTAGCAACGTGCCTGATACATGCAGGCGCGTTCATGCCACATGTTGGACACGGGGTCGTAGCACCGCACCGTGTTGAAGTGATCGCTGCCGTCGAAACCACCGATCATATAGATGAGGTTGTTTAGAGTGCACAGCCCGTGGTACGCCCGCGGTGTCAAGTCCATGTGGATCGAGAGAAACCAACGGTCAGCTCTAAAATGAAATAAAGAAATAACAACGAAGTCCTCAAAACCACAAGTGTGAAAAATCAATCATTATCTACCATGCTGTTAAAGTCAACAATTAATACCCAAAAAGACCCTACCGTGTGTCGTAGGTCTCCACAAAACTGGTAGGGCTTCCAGCACTCCATCCGCCGACCGCAAATAGAATCTCGTAAGGTATCCGGGGCCTTGCCAATGGGTCATTTAAATCGGCCTCTGTACCGGGCCTGGAGTCCAACAATGTAAGGAATACCACCGCAGGATATAATGCTTCTTGACATTTCTAGAAAACGCCTTAAAGTTAAAAATCACGTTTAAAGTTACGCAATTTCATCT